GATCTGATCTCAACATCTTTGTAACCGAACTCGTGAATCCAATGAACAACAAAGATGGCCGAAAGCTCAGCTTCTAAGACTGATTCAACAACCAAAGGGAAAGAGCCAACAATGATGAAATTGCGGTTCTCATCTCTCATTCTCTCATAATAGCACCACCGGTGGAAAAATTGGTATTGAAGGCGGCATCCACGTTAAGTACTTCAGAGTCTCGTGCATGCGCACAATGAGCTAACCACCATGCACATTGATTGAATAATTGAAACTCCCACATGTCCTCTGTCGCGGATTGAGCATGAGACCTCATTCCAACTATCTCACTCATGACTCATCCACCATTGAGCTTCTTGTGCGGGTTCCTTTTTGTTAACGCTAATGTCACACATGGTAGTCCATGTGATTTTTATAACAATCCAAGTCTGATCTAGTCTGATTTGGTCTGATCTGGAACAAAGTGAATACACCACATGTTCTAATGAACGATTTCATAAAAATTGGAAAATTTGCGAAATAGGAGTGACAATATTTGGAAATTCCAAAATATGTTTTTTCCCCAAGAAATGAACAAAACGGTTATGTTTTTCTTTCTGAAATATGAATTACATCACGATATTAACTGTCATCTTGGAGTCATTACTGTCAAAATAGTTGCAGTACTAGGCATTAACATGATATTGTTTTTCAATCAAGGCAGTAACTAGGGTTGAGCAAAACCTGATCCGACCCGAAAAATCGATTTTTTTCAGATATTATCCAATCGGGTACGAGTATCCGACCCAAAGACCCGAAACCGAAGAACCGCGCTTAAATGGGCCTGGACCGGGTAGCGGGCAGGGTTTGGGTAATCCCAACCCGAACCGCCCAAATATCTGAACCCCTATACGACGTCGTTTCGTATAGAGTATATATTCCTTCTTAACATCCCTAACTCTCTCCGCCTCCTTCATTTGTCATTCGATCTCTCCACTCTCTTCCGGCTTCTCTCTTCATTCTTCATCTTCAGACCTTACACTCTCCTCTTGTTTTGGTCTTCAATCCCGACCCCCGTCCAAGTTATTTCCGGTTAGTTTAAAGGTCTCAGACCTTCTCTGCTTTTCTGGTTGTGCGGTCGTGTCGTGTCAGGTGTCACCGTGTGCCACCGTGCGAAGCCCGCAACCCTAATTGGTAAAAGTTCTTACACTAATTTGTAATATTAGTCCATCTCATCATCTCTAAGGCATTTCTATCATTCTACGGTTCTACCTACAGATTTGTTGTGAATTTGTGATATGCGTTTGCATTTATTTCATATCAGAGTATGGTGAATTGGTGATTTGTGGAAGCTCGTGTATTTGATTGTATAATGTTGTTGTTGTTGTTTAAACTGTAACATGTGATATTGAATTTGTGATGATGTTGGTCACGTATTGAATTTTGATTCTTGTGTACTTATCAGTTATATGTGCATTGTAAATGGTGGAAATGCATGAGAATGATGATGGAGCATCAGCATACCCTAGGTCTGATTTCTGAATGGTGGATATGCATATGTGGCATACTGGCATGTGAACTGCTGAAGTGCATATGTGATATGTGATATGCCCTCAATCTGTTTTGAATTGAAAAGAAGCAACCTGAACCAAATTTTATCTACTTTATTAATTGTCAAACTGCTAGTTCCCCTTTTGGTAATGATGAAAGCTTCCACCATATACTAAAATCAGATTGGGTTGGTATTAAATTTAGTTAGTGTTAAATTGGATTTGGCCTCTTTAGAGTGCATCTTTAGATGGCTTGAAACCTTGCATTAAGTATTTTGGATGCCCTTAATCTCTTATGAATTGGAAAAGAAGCAATCTGAACCAGTTTATGGAATTTGTTTATTCACACATATTTTGTGACTAATTGAGTACTTATGTTTATAATTTATATGTGCAGGATTAAAGGCTCAATGAATTTGAGTTTGGAAGTTGATATGGTCTCTATGAGCTGCCTTTATTATTGTACTAGTTATATGACGCGTGATGCGCGAGGAGAAAATGCCCAAAGTTATTTTGATAAGGTTAACATAACGAAATGTTAATGATTAGTACCTTTGGGTTATATGATATTGCACAAGAACTTTATGCATACTTTTCCCCATAATGGATGATTAAAAGTGATGTGAGACATCATCTCTTTGCCCATGAGCGGAGCAGTGACCGTTCAGAAATAGCATATAAGAATATACTATCAATGTTTTGGTAATAAACAATCTAAAAAAGAGTGGGCTGAATATTAGGTCTGTAGGGTCTAAAGCATGTGTGTCATTTTAATGTTTTAGTCCAATTGTACTAAATATGTACTAAATAGTAATTAAGAGGCAAATGCAATAACAAATGTAAATTATATATAGCACCACGAGTAAAAATCAATAATACTCGTGATTCAATACGGTAATATTTCGTTGTGATAGCCGTATGAAATGAAATATTGCAATCCCCAGATACATATTACTTAGGACCGATTTGGGGTAATGAGGGGTGATGATCAAAATCTCCCGTTGATAGTAATCTCATACTTGTACACATAGAGATATAATAATATACAAAGTTCCAGATCAAACTCACATCTCAATATTGGCATTTCTATTTTACACTTATGCCTCTATAATCAGGGAAATTAATACATATTAAAGTATGATCTCAACATTTATGAAAAATGTTACGGAGTATTATTTATCAAATATCAATAACAACACTATATTTATAATAAAATATAAATAATAACCATAATATTATTAAATAATAATAATCACAATAACGTTGATAATTATAATATTGATTGTAAAAATAAAAAGGAAAAATTAACAAGAATAATCTCACATTTCACTTGTCTTCTCATAATAATAATCTCACCTTTAAATAATCCCAAAATAATCCCACCTTTGCACATCATCTTCTTTAATTGGACCCTGACCAAGTTTTTTACCTTTTTTAAAAATCTTATATAAATAATCTCACATTTATAAGGGTATAATTAAGAAGTGAAAGGTGAGATTATTTGTATAATTTTCAAAGAAAGAGTAAAAAACATGGTTAGGGTCCAATGAAAGAAGATGAGGTGCAAAGGTGTGATTATAATAAACACCAATCATGGTTGGGGCATTTCAGGAATGATAAAAATGTTGGTGTAACATTGAAGCAAGATGCACTTGTACAATTTCTTTTAGTCATTGTACCCTTCACCATTAAATCAATTTTTGCTTCATACCTCCGTAAACTTAACTCCAACAATAATTACAATAAAAATAACAATATAACAACAACAATAAAAGCAATAACCTGTGTTTGAACCTTTCTAATGTGATGTGTATTTTTCTAGTCTGATATAATCTAATCTTTTTTATCGGATTTGATTTTTTCATATCTAGTATGATCTAATCAGAATTTTTTGCAATCTGTATTGAAATTTTGCTCGATATTAGTCATTTCATTCCTAAAAAGTGACATAAAATTGATTTTCTTATCTTCTACGTATATTGCATACGGTAAGTATATAAAAAATTTAAAATGAAAAATTAAACTTAAACGTTAAATGGAAATAAAATAAATCAAGTGTATATAATACTACGTAATTGAAATGTTTAGGCTACATCACTTTTGGAAACTCAACAGTTGGAGTTTTTTTTAAACGGCAGTTGGAGTTAAGTTAACGGAGGTACGAAGCAAAAATAGGGAAAATGGAAACTATAATCCAACATTTTAGCGGTTTTCTTACAATAATCCAACCTTTTGGTTATTCATGAATAATCCAACCTTTGCACCTCATCTTCATTCACTGGTCCCCGATCGGTTGATGACCTGTTATTCCAAGCTATTTTCTTATCTTTGCAAAATATTATCTTTGTGAAAGATGAAATTTATGGTATAATGATTTGCAAAGATAAGAAAATAGCTTGGAATAGCAGGTCATCAACCGGTCAAGGACCAGTGAATGAAGATGTAGTGCAAAGGTTGGATTATTCATGAATAAGCAAAAGGTGAGATTATTAAAAGAAGACCGCTAAAAGGTTGGATTATTAGTTTCCATTTTCCCAAGCAAAAATTGATTTAATGGTGAAGGTACAATGACCAAAAGAAATTGTACAAGTGCATCTTGCTTCAATGTTACACCAACATTTTTATCTTTCCCGAAATGCCCTAACCATGATTGGTGCTTATAAGTTTTTAGATTTTTTGCAAAGTACAAGCTGATTTTGTAGAACTTCTAATGTTGAACTTGTATCTCATTTTGTTATCTTACATTATGTTACATTATGTTAAGTTAATAGTTTTTGTAGAACTTCTAACTTGTAAGTTGTAAGTTGTGTAATATGTTACATTATGGTAAGTTATGAAATGTGTACTTTGAAATTGAATATGTTGAATGTTAACTGCATAATTTTAATGTCTTTTATTATATCTGAATGAACCGAAACCCGATCTGATATCCGAAAATATCCGATTTAAACATATCTGAAAATAAATCCTATAAAAAGCCCAGGGTCGGGCCAAGTATTTGAATTAAATAACCCGAACGGGTTCAGGGTCTGCAGACCTGACCCGCCCGAACCCGACCCGTGCTCAGGCCTAGCAGTAACGACTCATATTTCAGAAATAAAAACATTTTACTCCTGTTTTTGCATTCCAAGACGTTTTTACTCCTATTAAGGGTAATTTCCTAAATAAGTGAAAAGTACTCCTAGAAACTATTTACCCATATTGGATGGAAAATCTCGTTTATCTACTACTTAGACTATGTTTGGCGGGCATAAGTCTCTTACTTCTAGCTTTTGTATTGTTCAAAAAGTCTCTAAAAGCTTCTAGTTATATGTTTGGCATGACAATATTTAAGAGCTTTTGAAAAATCCTATATACCTAAAGGGAGAATCCATTCTCCTAAAACTTTTCCCGCTTCTCACACCAAATCCTATATGCACGTATAATAATGGTAATTAAACTAAATTAAATGCTTCTATTTTTGCTCCCAGACATCTCTCTTTTCTCCCCCTGATTTTTGCTTCAGTTTCTTCCGTTTCTTCAGTTTCTTTTTCAATTTGATGTCTCCACCGTTCATTCTTTTCCCTGTTCTCTTATGTTTCATATTCATATGTTCGGATGTTCCTCTTTTCCGCCTTCATCTATCTCCGTCTCCTCTCCTCTTCTCTTTTCTTCTTCACCGGGCACTCCCTCCAATTCAACCGGCACCAAGAAACATTCCCTGCAATTTCGTTAAAGATTGAAATCTTCACTTTGAGACCCTTCTTCTTCTCCTTCATGACCACATCCGCACCAATTCCAAGAATTGAAATCTTCACTTTCCCACCAAAGAGGATGATAAGCTAAAGATCACTACGTTTTACCTATTTTTTGGGACTTAAACATTGATTTCTTCAAAAAAATCAATCTCTCTGCTGTTAATATAGTAGATGACCTACAATATGCTTTGGTTCTACCTAAGTTTTATTTTATATCTTTACATATCATTTGTTAATCACAATCGTTCTTTTCTTTAATTTACAGGAGAACATGCTATGCTTAGGAGTCTGGGAGATATACTTACACACCAGCACCACCATAGGGTAAGCTTTCTTTTTCTTCACCACCATTTACATCAATCGACTAGCGATAGAATATGAAATAAGACCTCTTCTTATTATCTCAATTCTTTATTCTGATTTCTTAATCCAAAAATTGGATTCAATCCTTCACGAATCACTCCTAAGTCTTGTGGTGTTTCTGTAGGGGCAAACTGGAAATCACGTTGAACTTAAGGCTGCCCCCACAAGTTGATCCTATTAAATTGGACTTATCAAACTCAGCAATTACCGAAAAGGTATGGTTATGGACCTTATGGTACATAAATGCAAAGATTTTTTTTTACAAGTTACAGATATTTGTATTTGTCTCAAAGTAGACAATATATACATAGACAACAGTCTGCCTTGACATCTTGAAAAAGTAGTGAAGCCCTGCCTTGGAATTTCCAATCTAGGTCTTAACTTTGAAGTTCTCTCAATTCTTCGTTTAGAAGTAATGCTGATTATTTAGATGCTTTAAAGTCAAATTCACAACTTCTAAATCTCCTTTTCCAAAAGGTTTCTTTTATCCCTTGGACATGAGTTTGACCTGGTCTATATGAACTGCCTTTTTATTGAAATTTATAATAGTCACATCTATTCTATCTAATCTGATGTTCGTGGCATTATGTTGCTCTAATAATAGTTCTAAGTTCTAACTTCTAACAGTCCAACAAGTAAACTCCAAAAACATTTTCAAATCAATGAAGTTTAAAGAAGATCAAATAAACTATTCTTTTTATACTACCTCCATCCCAATGGAGTGTACACTCTTTGAATTAGGTGAGAAATAGTAATAGTAAAAATTGTATGGTTAAAGTTTGTGCAGAGGTGAAAGAAATGAGGAGAACTACAAAATAATTACTTTAATGGGAAAGTGGGAAATTTTTTTGGGACAACCAAAAAGGGAAAGTTGACAAAGTCCAATGGGTCAGAGAGAGTATATGCTATGATTTGGGAACACTAAAACTACAAGTAATGGTGCTGGCTATTTTTTTAAAACTGCCCGTCAAACTTTATCATTAGTCAATACCAATATTCTTGGCATTAGTTTTCTGAAAAAAAATGAGAGATATTTTAATGCCAATTTTCCACTATCTTTTTCACCAGATTATATATTTGGATTCATTAAAAGTGGTCACCTGTTTAATCAACTGTGTTTAATCTACTACTATGTTTCTTTTCTGTTGCTGCTTTAGTCTTACGAGTTACTGGAATATCTTAAATTCCAAGCATTTCACATTATAGAGGAAGCTAGACCATCATACACGGAGTAATTATTGCCTTAATTATTTGAATCTTTTTATAGCTGAAATTATATGTTTTTTTCTGTATTGGCTGAAGTTCATGACAGGCACGAGCTGAAAACGTCCTCTAGCAATATTATACTCTATCCTTCCTCCTTTTTTTGAAAAGATATAGAAGTAGATAAATTACAATTATATGGTAGCACTGCAGTCCCGCTCTCTTTGAAATGGGTGACACTAAAGTCATTGCTGCTATATGTGGTCCCAGGCAGGTAAACCATAAACTGCGGAAATTAACTCCAATCAATCGAAAATTAGGCCAACTAATGTTTACTTTGATCATTACAACTTCGTCCTATATATTGTTTTACGTAGTATATTTTTAGGCTCAAAACAAGATCCTAATTACAACTTCATTTTATATATTTTTTATACTACGTACTATTTAGCTTCAAAACACGAGCCAACAAATGAATGACCAAACTTTGGTATTCAACTTCTACAGTGAGTATTATATTTTCGTGGTTTCTATTTTGGTGAAGGTTTGTGATGGTTTATTTTGTAATGATCTCAATGGTGATCGCATGAGGAAGCCAAGAGGTGACCATTGATCTGCCACATTAATGCTTAGTTATATGGCATAAAATATGGCATATAAGTAATATGGCGGCATTCATATCAATTTCTACCCTATGAATATTACTCTGTTACACATCAAGACAATTCATCTTTATAAGTCTACCCTATGAATGCTTATTTATATGGCATTCACCGTGTACTTGTAACTTAACTTTCATGTCTTATAAGCTGTTTTTGGTAATCTTCATGCGGAAATGAGTGATTGCAAGTCTTTTCCTCACATCTATCTTTCAGAATAGCATTTTCTTGCAAAAAAATATAGCATTTTCTTCATTGTGACGTGAGAAAATAATTCTCCACAATATATAAAAAGTATCTCAAACTTGCACATGTAATATATATACTCCAAACTTTATATAAAAAGTTAAATGAGCACTATGATCATATTTTTTTCACAAATAATGTTTATAGTGTTAAGTACATAATTTAACATATACAAAACATTTATGAGGATGCACAAATGTTTTGTCAAATACGTTTTATTTTAATAAATACATATGCTCCTAGAAGAATGCGGAAAAGGGTTTGGAATTGCTACAATGTCGATTGAGAAACAATTTTGAATTGGATCTAAGTGAATGTGTGTTTGTCTTAGTTTAGACCAAAGTTCGAAAAGATCAGTGAACGAAGTATTGCTTCCAAAGTTCGAAAAGATCAGTGAACGAAGTATTGCTTTTCACGATTGTTTAATTTGTTTCTACGATATGAATTTTTGGTTAATTTTGCAAGTATGTGTGGTAAATTCGGGTTGACGGATGATGATTAGCCCTTTGCATATTCGAGAATCGAGAGTGTGTCTATTGGTATTTGGGTTTTTCTTTTTGAATAAGTGAACACCCATCCAGGCTTAAAAAGTGTCTTAATTTGTGTGTTATGATAATAAACATGAGCCAAAAGCATTTGGAAACCGTAATTGTTTTCTTGTGAGGTCCTATTTCTTAGCATCAACGGTTTTATGTTAGAGTTTCAATGGTGCAAGTTTGTTTGACTTGAATTTTGTGAAGTGTGACCACGGAAGAAATTCAAAAAACATCAAAATATGCTTACAGGACATCTTCAATAATTTGTAACTTGTGTGCTTATTCAACTTCTAAAATTTGTTACTCCATATTGTTTACTCCCTCTGTCCCGCTAGAAGGTTCCCGTGAACGGTTTATGATGCTTGACTGACGATAAAGCAACTTAATCCATGTTCACACTCTGACTATTTTTATTAAATAAAATTTACATATTCAGAAACTACATTAAAACTGCTACAAATTCTGATAAAAAAATGTAAATTTCATAAAAAAATTGATATATAAAGCAAAAGATTAAAAATGACTTAAGTTGATCATGTGAATAGTGGACGGGAACCTTCTGATGGGATAGAGGTAGTATTTATGATTCTCTAATTCGTGGGATAAAAATTTGATTTATAACTTCGTTTATATAACGATAAAAAACTACGTTTATATATCAATATTTATAATATTTTCATACAACATCCCGTGCAACACACGGGTGTAAAACTAGTTAAAAGATCTTTTCAGAGATGCTACAGGCAGTAGCATCTAGAAAAAGTCCGTGACTTTTAGTATTAATTAGCCTTAACAGCTTGTATACCAAACCGAACTAAATCAAACAGTCAGCTTTTTACCAAACAGCTACCACATTTTGTTTTTAAGATCTTTTCAGTCACTAAAAGCTAACAGTTATTAAAAAGCTCGCAAAAGTATCTTTTCAGCTAGTTGTGCCAAACATACCCTTAGAGAGTGTTTGTGTTTGCTTCACCTTTTTAAAAGTGATTTTTAAAAGTTATTTGAAAGAAGTGCTTTGTAGAAAAAGATGATAGTGTTTTAGAATAAAAGTGATTAAGATAAAAAAGTTAAAGTTGAAGTGTTTAGTAAAAAAATTGATGTGATGTTTTTGAAAAGTACTAATATGCTCTTCTATAGGAAAAAGATCATCACCTCAGGTTAGGGATGGCAATTTAACCCGACCCGATGGATACCCGCACCAAACTGAACCGATCAAAACGGGGAAAACTGCTTTGACCGGGTAACGGGTTCGGGGAGGGGAATACCCGTTCTATATAAACGGGTAACGGGGCGGGTACGGTTTTATAGAGACCCGGCCCGTTACTCGCCCCGTAACCGCCCCGTTTATTTCGGGTACAGTTACCCGCACTGTTACCCGACCCGTACATATATATTTTAATATATATTAAATTTATACTATTATATATTTTGGTTTTCAGTTGATAAGCTTAGTTGATAACCTTTGTGATTAATTCTACAATTTTCTAAAAATATACTGAACAAGAGAACGGTAGGTTTAGAATATTTGACATAAATAGTGTCATACACGAAGGAGGATTACACAACCAAATTTTTGACAGTCATACATAGAACAAGCTACTCTAGCCAACTCGTAAGCAACTCTATTCGATGATCGTCTAACAAAAGAGAAATCAATATTAGAAAATCTTTTACTAATATCACGAATATCCTCGGCTAAAATGCCCACCGCAGACCGACTCAAACCAACTCGAATTTTATGGATAGCTACTAATGCATCTGTTTCAACCTCCACAAAATCCCACCCTTGATTTTTTATCCAACTAAGTGCTTCCTGAATATTCAGCTTCCAATGGAGAGCTGCAACCCCACCCACGCTTAGCTCCTCCCACCACAAAGTCATCGGTCTCATTCCGAATAACCCATCCCAGACCACTGTCAAGGTTCCCTTTTGCTGCATCAGTATTTAGCTTGCACTAGCCAAGCTTTGGAGGTTTCCAAACTTGAGTTCCTACCTGTGATCCTACTGCCAGCTTCCCCTGCTGCTGCGCATAAGTCCAGGCCTCGACACATCTCTTGGCATCCTGCATAGCAGGAAAAATACTCATCACTTTACCTTGCCAAACCCAGTGAAAGCTTTTAAGGACCTTTTATACATAACCCCTATCTCAATTCTTTAATTGTTTTTTTAATTTTCTCTTTTCGTTTGAATTCATAGATGGAAGATACGTACGAGCTTGTCCTATCAATGTGTGTTCAATATTCGACCATTCAGATGGATAGGCAGTGTATTTTATATAACTATGACCGTATTTGTATATCAGTCCATATTTTCTCTTTTGACTTAACTTTGTATTTTACTACTGATCGGGCTGAACTTGCAAGTATACAAGTGCCGATGTAGTAATAAGATACCGGTAAATACCGGGTCGATCCATAGGGAAATGGTTGATATTATAAAGGAAAAAATTCCACTTTTGGTCCCACGACCATTATGCCAGTTCCACATTACTCCCTTGACTTTCAATTTAACCAAATCTAGTCCGTGACCTTTTCCCCTTCACCACCCGTCGTCCTTCCGATCACAACTCCGGCAAATTTTAACCGGAAACCAATTAATGAAGGTTAGTTGCGTCATTTAATAGCATTTATAAGTTTTCTTATCGAAAAAATTTCACTTTTGGTCCCATGACTATTATGCCACTTCCATATTACTCCCTTGACTTTCAATTTAACCAAATCTAGTCTGTGACCTTTTCCCCTTCACCACCTGTCGTCCTTCCGACCACAACTCCGACAATTTTTAACCGGAAACTCATTTATGTAGAAATATTAGGGGCATTTTAGTAATTGCATGTTGTTAAAACGGTTACCTACAAAATTAACTTCACGCCAGCTTCCTTCATTCTGAAAATCGAAGTCTTCTCCAATTTCCCAAACTTCCGTCAGCCTGAAAAATCCCCAACCATCGTTCAAACAATGAGGACCCGTCCGGACCGTCGGAGTAAGGAACAAGTGCGACGTTCGCCAACAAATGCTGGTGATAAAGGTAAGAGGATGAACTTTTTTAAAAAAATAGTGGAAGAAAGTAATGAATACAAGGCTGAAATGAGGTGTATATAATTGGTGTTTGCCCATGTTAGGGGTTGTATGTTGAGGCTGAAAAAGTTTTTTTTTTTAAAAGAAAGTGGAAGAACGTAACATGTGCAAACACCAATTATATACACCTCATTTCAGCCTTGTATTCATTACTTTCTTCCACTCTTTTTTTAAAAAGTTCAACCTCTTACCTTTATCACCAGCATTTGTTGGCGAACGTCGTTCATCACTTGTTCCTTCTCCTTCACTCCGACGGTCCGGACGGGTCCTCATTGTTCGAATGATGGTTGGGGATTTTCAGGATGACGGAAGTTTGGGAAATTGGAGAAGACTTCGGTTTTGAGAATGAAGGAAGCTGGCGTATTAACTCAACATTAATTGAAGTTAATTTTGTAGGTAGCCGTTTTAACAACATACAATTACTAAAATGTCCCCAATATTTCTACATAAATGAGTTTCCGGTAAAAATTTGTCTTGTGGTCGGAAGGACGACGGGTGGTGAAGGGGAAAAGGTCACGGACTAGATTTGGTTAAATTGAAAGTCAAGGGAGTAATGTGGAAGTGGCATAATAGTCATGGGACCAAAAGTGGAATTTTTTCGATAAGAAAACCTATCAATGCTATTAAATGACGCAACTAACCTTCATTAATTGGTTCCGGTTAAAATTTGCCGGAGTTGTGGTCGGAAGGACTACGGGTGGTGAAGGGGAAAAGGTCACGGACTAGATTTGGTTAAATTGAAAGTCAAGGGAGTAATGTGGAAGTGACATCATAGACATGAGACTAAAAGTGGAATTTTTTCTATTATAAAGTTGAGTATTGAATGCAAAGGAATATAAATGGTATATTTTTTTCAGGAACTTTGCTCTTTGAGGTTGATTTAAACAAGAATGAGAATTACCAATCGGGATTCACCTAAATGCTTTAATAGTTATTTAATAATAGTTCTTCCCCAATAATTATGAATACGATGTCGCTAATATATTCTCAACTCCGGTTAAGGCAGCGAGAGCGTGGTTTTCGTTATGTGTAAGTCCCGTTACGGCTCACATTCATCTACCGAAAACCCCGTTGAATATCAAGACATCACACCCGTATCATATAAGACCGGATATATTTCTATTCTCGGTGCTATATATGTTTATCCTTTAGTGTTCATAGTTTAGACTTCAACGTTAATTGCAAGCATAAACTAAATTTAACATACTTCTATGTTGTACACCATAGTCATAAACAATCAAAATATAAAGGATAAATCACAATTTATTGGTTTAGAACTTTTATCAAACATCTAGTGTGCATAGAGGTTCATCCCTAGCCTTAGCTAAGAAATTAGCCTCTAATGCTCATATTAATCACAATACAATATGAAATGTTATGGAACATGAAATTACAAAGGAAATAATACCTAAACACCAATGGTTTCGGAGGTTGAAGTTTCCTCCTCAAGAACTTGAAGAAAATACCAAGAACAAAAATATAAAAGCTAAGAATTAATCTATGGAATGGAATGTGTTTGCTTGATGAATTGAGGGCTTTATATAGGCTAAAGAATGACATCTTTTAGTCTATTCGAGCCCAACAATCAGGTATGGAGCAATATTTGATCAAGAGATGAGGAAGGTGAAGTTTTCCCATCAAAAATCCTCTTGCACGACCTTTTGTTTGAGCTGAAATCGTCCCAACCGGCCCCGGTCAGTCTAGAACCGGCCCCGGTCGCAAACAGGCTCGTTAAGTGCAAAAAAACCTTCCAACCGGCGCCGGTTATAGGCTGACCGGCGTCGGTTGCAGCGCCCAAAAATGCGCTTCCTTTCTCTTCTTCCGAAATTGATCAAAAAGTGTCGGTTTTTGTCCCGGGATTTTGGGGATGTTCCGCTACGAATTTGGACATGATTCCTTCACCAAAGTTGTAGATAATGAAGTCTTCTATCCACCAAAACTTGAATGACGGGATTTTATTCATCCAATCAAACGTTATGGCTAAAACACTGAGAGGTATGCATCCTGAAATCCCACCAGCAACATCTGACTTTGTTGGTTGATTGAGTCTTGTTCCTTTCATATTTTGGCCATGACATCTTCATAACATTTGTTCCTTATTGAGTTAGCATTCACATGAAACTCGAATCGAGTGATTTCGAGTTCTATAGAATACGTTATACTCAAATTATGGGCAGAACGTCATTCTCTTGGTCTAAAAAGTCGTTCATCGCAATGTTTTATGCTCTAGCTCTCATTCTGAAGGTATTTGTCCGATTTCTCTTCCTTTCTTCAACAAATACTTATAAATACTTATGTTAAACACAAGTAAATATAACGGCTATCAAATCCCCCCACACTTGAGCGTTGCTTGTCCTCAAGCAATTTCTTCAACTTTGGATGTCTTGGTTAGTTTCAACAAAAATATATGAACAAAAATAATTTAATTTTTAAGAGAGATAAAAAAATGACATATAAACTCTTTTATCATTCTCGGTCCAAAAACCATTTTTTAATCAAACACAAAAAGTATCATTTAGATTTAGAAAACTACTTATACTCTTGAAAATAAAGGAATGATTTGTGACTATGGTTTTTTTTGGGTGAGTGGGATGGCTTTTTGGTGTTTTTGACTTTTAAGTTGTATGAATCAATTGAACTTCCTAGATGAGACCATGAGTTTTTTTTCTTCTTTTTTTTTTCTTTTTTTTTTCTTTTTTTTTTCAAACTCATTTGAAAAGGTCTTCAACTAGTATTTACTGAAAGTCATTTGATGATGCCAATTTATTTGATGAGGTGTGAGAGTGGGTTTTGTGTTCCAAAATGGTGCTTGAATGTAGTATTTGACCATTTTTGGAAATGAAGGAAGGAGATGCTTTCTAGTCACAAGAATTTATTTTTTTTGGAAAAATTTTTAAGAGTAAAGAGTAGTCTAAAAAAAAATGATAGGTTTTTGTAAATAATTAAAAAAAACTTTCTCAACCAAATACCCATTAAAAAGAGAAATATGAAAATTTTACCTTCCTAAAAAAAATTATTTTTGCACACAAAATTTGTTTAACTAACCATGAAATGCACCCCCCACACTTGAGATACATTGTCCTCAATGTACATTGGAGGATGTAATGGAGGATGAAATCTTCAATAGCGGAATGAGCCGTCTTGTGAGAGTAGGAGATGCATGATACTTGAGTTTAGATGATGTTTTTCTTTTTTTTTTTTGTTTTTTTTTTGTTTTTTTTTTGGGTTTCAATTATAAATAAATATGAATATGTATTTAACTAAACATATTTATTTATAATTGAATTTGTTGGGTTGCCTCCCAATTAGCGCTCAGTTTAACGTCATAGGCCGGACGCAACGTACCTCTCACGTGTGATTGGGCTCCTGAAGACGTTTGACCAACGTTACCTTTTTGAGATCGTGGGGAGGCCATGGAGTTGTCCGTCCATTCTTTTCATTCCCGTGGTGTGTTGGAGGGATGGAAGGATTTGTGTTGACCTCCATGTTTTGAGTTGGTATGGATTGTGTTTTCCATACATTGAATGTTTCATCGTCTCCTCCCACTCTTAGCTTTACGGTGCCTGCTTGCACATCAATGACGGCTGCGGAGGTGGCCAAAAAAGATCTCCCAAGGATGACGGGAACTTCCATCTCTTCCATGTCCAAAACAAGAAAATCTACTGGGAAGTAGAATTTTCCAACTTTGACAAGGACATCCTCCATGATGCCTATCGGATAGCGGATTGTTCTATCCGCTAATTGCAAAGCAACCGTTGTTGGTTGGAGTTCCCCCACACTTAGCTTTTTAAATAGGGAGTAAGGCATAAGATTTATGCTAGCACCAAGGTCACAAAGAGACCTTACCTCCCCGATTTTTCCGATAGAGCATGGAATAGTGAAGCTTCCGGGATCTTTTAGTTTTGGGGGAAGTTTGTTTTGAATAATGGCACTACATTCCTCCGTTAGTGCCACAGTTGTGAATTCTTCTAACCTCTTTTTGTTGGAGATGATACCTTTAAGAAATTTTGCATAAGATGGGATCTCCGCAATGGCCTCCGCAAAAGGTATGTTGATGCTTAATTTCTTGAAAATATCAAGAAATTTCTTGTATTTCTTATCATCTCCTTTCTTCTTCAATTTTTGTGGGTAAGGGATGTGAGGAACATATTGAGCCATGATAGGTGGGAGCGGTGTATGTGCAACATCTTCTTGTTCCTCCTGCGTCTTTCTCCTTTCCGACATCTTGGGGTCCTCCATTTGT